TAACTATAAAGCAGGCCAACCTAACTAAATCGGGTCAAACTTTGTCGGCGAAATGGGTTTATACAACTTTAAAGTGTAAAGAATTGTAGCTTGGAAAATCTGTAACAGCTAAAAATATTTAATTCTTGAGTTATACCACTTTTATATATAAATATTTTTTGCCAGTAATCCGGTACTGTAAATAATATCGATATTGTCACTTGGCCATTTGGCTGGTCAATGGCCATGGCCATTGGCCAAATTGGGCAATAAAGTTTATTTGGCCGAAATGGCCAAATATTCGTATAGAAAAGCTAGTAATATAATTGGTTAATGTTATACAAGTTAGAAACATGCTGGCCATTGACCGTTGCCTATTTTAGCCAAAAAAATTGTTTGGCCGCAAGAAAAAAATTGCTAATACTGTGTACATAAGAAGTTAAACTATATTCTACTTATTTGAATTCCATATTTGTAAAAAAATTAACATCTGTATAAAACTGACCAATTAGGTATAACATAATCAGGACTGCTTCGTATAACGTGGGATTTTGCAAAGGCTATTTCTCTTAAAAGTATCGGTATGTTTTTAAGTTATTTAGTACAATTATAATGATCTTAATGATCGTTAACTCACTTCTTTATAATTTTTTATCTCTTACATAGCTATGACTATGACACTTGAGGAAAACTCTCTACAAAATTTAATCCCTACCTCATTAACCTTCGATTGTTTCGAAGAAATACTGAGTCATCTAATAGATTCTCCCAAAACTCTCTACTCATGTATATTGGTCAACCGTCTATGGTGTCGGACTGCCATCCCTCTTTTATGGAGTCATCCCTTCGAAGTACATGGTTTTGGTGAGCGTTCTTCCGATATAATCCAAATGTACATCTCTTGCTTACCTGAAGACGAACGTCAACTTTTAATTGACGAAGGTCTTGACCTTCCTCCTGTTACTCCTCTTCTTTTTGATTATTCCAAATATTTACAAAGTTTTGATTCGGCTTTTTTTACTGGTGCTATAATGTCTTGGCTTACAACTCGTGCAAATTATCGTCTCGATTCTGAGAAGGATGATGATCCTGATTTATGTACTTACACCTATCTTGTACAATGTGTAATAGGAAATCTATTATTTAGTCATAGTAAAGGATTAAGAGATCTAGATCTTGCTCATTTCGAAGATGATGATGATTCTTTAATAATTGATATTGCTACTTTCGATGATGCGAATAAAGCTTTATCAAGATTAGAAAATTTCCAGTTTGATTATTCTGGTTGGAAATTAAATGATACTGATGATGATAAATCTTCTGAAATTATTTCAAATTTATTTAATTTCATGGCTGAATGTTCTCATAATATTCAATATATTTATATTAATATTACGAATCTGGCTGGAAAAGATGATGAATTAGTACAAATTGCAAGAAGTTTTAAAAGATTAATCGAAGCACAAAAAGCTGTTAGAGAATTAATTATTGTGGAATTTTGGAGTCCATATGTTGCAGATATTTTATTTAATTCTTTAATATGTCAATGGAAATCTTTGACTTATTTGAAATTTCATCATTTGGATAGTGATCAATTTGGACTTTTGTTACCTATTCTACCTATTCTCGTTAATTTGGTGACCTTACAATTTTTGGGCCTCAACTCTGACAAAGAAGAGGACGATGACGTTAATGATCATGATGATGATAAGATAAAATCATTAATGAATGCTACAACTGGTCAGATTAATATCAAACATTTATATTATCGAGATGAAAAATCACATGTCGACTCCCAAAATTTTATCATTCCCATATTACAAATGTCTAATAATAATTTGAGGACATTATATTTGGAAGATGTTACTCCTTTTCTCATTCAACAGATTGGAAATAATTGTAAACATTTAACGCATTTGTCCCTAACTTTGGTTACACCTGAAATTCCTGACCTATTATTTACGCTACTTAGATCTTTAAAAAACTTGGTTCATTTTTCATTATATAGTAATTCAACTGAATGTCCTTTTCTTTCAACCGATAGTTTGACTCAATTTTCTGAGGCGATACCAGAATGTTTAAAATATTTTGGGTTTAAATTGTATATTGATGCATGTATTTTAGAGTTCTTTTTAAATCAATGCAGTGCAAAATTGCAGGTGTTGGCCATATATCGGCCGGAAATCGTTGATGGTTTATTTCTAGATGTGTTGAATAAGTATGCAAAAGAGATGGGATCATTAAAGAAAATTTTGATTGATTGGGATGGTGTAATTGGTGGCAGGACGGATGATGATGAAAGTGATGATACATTTTGTAGTGATGATGACGTTGAGAATGGTGAAGATTGTATGAAAGAGAAAATTGAGAAGCTGAAAACGAAGGTAAACGTTATTTATAATGTCGTTGATCCTTCACATCCGTTCTCTGGGTATGTCTTTCGTCTTTTTTTTTTTTTTGTTTGTTTGAAAGTTTTGAAAAATAAGTTTTTATTAATTTACATTTTTCGAAAATATTATAGTCCGAGTATGGAATATGTAGACCGTTGGAATATGGACATTACCTTATCTTAATAATTATTTGTCTTAATTAATATTTCCTATTATTTTAACTTGGATTATATCAAATTACTTAATTTTATAAATACAAGCAATTAGAATTTTATAGATTATTAATTTAGTCTTGAAATAATGTTTAGATTACATGATAAATATAATAATCATGAAGTTTTAGAAGTTTGTATTCTTAAAAACTTTTAAAACTTTTTATTCCGTTAATTTCAATTTAAATTTGAAAATACTATGTAAAAATTTTATACATATTTGTATATTTAACAAAAAAGCAAAAAAACTTGTTGCAAAAATTTTTATAAACTATTCTTTACTTAAACGTTAAACCTAATTTAATCTAACTTTAAATTTTGTTATATAAACTTACTATATTGGTTTTATATATCGATATATACCAAATATAAATAAAAAAAGGAAAAAATTTTAATAAAAGAATTGTATCGGTATTATTCGATTTGACACTAGGGATCCACCTTTATTTTCATATTAAAATTTAGAGCAAAAGGGATTGATGTAAAGGTTCAGATTTAACTATAGTCTAAGATTAAAGTTTTAAAATCAATTTTTTTTAAAAACTAACATTTTATTTAAAATATGTATCAAATATTAATCAGATAAAATATAGCAATTATAGTGTCGAACACCACTGGCGTGCTTTAGTAAACTTGGAAAAAATTAAATTAATAAAGTTTATTAAAATACAAAATATTTTAATAAATACTTTGTTTATTGTTTATTTCAACAAAATTAAATAACTTAACATCTTAACGTAAAAAGTCTAAATATAAATACATAACGATTTATATATTAAAGTTTAGATATAAATAGTTCAGACATTAAGTTTATAAATAATTATTTATTAAGCATGATCTCATTTTGTAACTAGATCTTGCAAGACGAATAAATACGTTTCAGTTATCAGGGTAGAAACGTCTTTCACCTTTACCTGCCGTCAAAATTTCCACACCAGTTTCAGTAACTAATAAAGTATGCTCAAATTGTGCACTTCGTTTACCATCTTCAGTAACTGCCGTCCAATTATCTGGCCAATGACGATCACGCCATGCACCTACAGATGAAACAATCGATTAGTTAAATTGATGCACGCTACGCATAACGTGTAACAAAGGAACCAGAGACAAACGAACCAAAATTTATCATAGGTTCAATCGTAAAAACATGTCCAGGTTTCATTTTACCAACAGCTTTGTTCTCTAAAGTATCGAGTGTATGAAATATTAAATGATGAACATAAAGAAGAAAAATAGAATACCACCAGAATGAGGCTTACTTGTATAGTGGGGAACATTTGGTGGACAGTGAAATAACCTAGAGAAAAAAGGTCAGTTTAAACTAATAAACATATGTGCAACAAAAGATAAACAGCTGATATATATACCTATGAATACCATGACCACAATAAGTACGAACAACTGAACAATTATTAGCTTTTGCATTTTTCTCGATTACTGCACCAAGGTCACGGTATAAAAATCCGGGTTTCACTAAAATTTACAAAATATTAATAACATCTTTTATCTGCAAAACAATTATGCGTACTCACCGCACTCAATAGCTTTATTCAAGCATTCTTTTGCTGTTTTTATCAGTTTCTGACTGTCCATATCTATGCAACCAACGGGATAAGTTTCATTGAGATCGCCATGAAATCCATCATGATACAAAGTAACGTCTAAATTGATGATGTCACCCTCCACCAGTTCACGACGATCGGGAATACCATGGCAAATGACTAACAGAATAATCAAGGTAACGTCAGCCGGTAACGGTAAAATTTTGAGATCAAACCGACGAATGTTTTAAATCATTCTTAATACCTTCATTCACTGATCTAAAATTAATGATATGCTATGTCAAATTGGGCAATAAGTTTGAACTAGTAATAAAAATACGTATTTTTTTGAATTCGTGCATTTACGTGCAAACAGATTTTGGAAATTCGTAATAATTCAAAGGTGATGGATAGCAATCACGTTCTATAGCAGCTTCGTGTACGATTCTATCAATTTCATCAGTTGTTACTCCGGGCTTTATTGCAGCTGCACCGATGTCCAAAACTTCTCTAGCAAACTACTCATTTTCGTTCAAAACAGTTCATTTTCATCAAAATAGCAAGCCATCTTTCAAGTGAATGAAAAAAGTTAACAACAAACCTTGCACACTTTTCGCATTGCTTCAATTTCATCACTATTCAGCTCTTTAATGATACTATTTTGATTATTCATTTCAGATCTGGACACGCCTAATATAATTATAATCATAATCATTAATACTAAATGCTGCCGGTAATATTATACGATCAAATTCCATATTCAAACCTTTCGGATCGTCGGCATAATCGGGCCTCTTGATACGTGATGGAACTGATCTTCGAGGTGATAAAGGGTATACAGCTCGCAACGAACCAGTGTACTGGAAATTTGGTATATATGTTTCAACCGCTAGGATAAACATTGATCATAAATGAAGTTATAAGAATAAAATGAAAATTTATTTTTAAGCATAGAATTCTTACTCGTAGTGAGTGTATTTGTTTTATGAAGAAGTTTATGCGTGGACTATGAATTAAAGTACACGTTAAATGGTTTAGAAAACTGCGGTGTCCATTTTTAAAAAGTTTTAATTCGAAATGTTTACCCAATTCTTTTTGAAACATTCTTGGGAGCAGAAATAAGAACTAATAATGTTTAATTTCAAGCAAGTAGGGCATTGCAACTTTGAAGGATTTTGGCAATTTTCCCCTCGACAGAGTTGAACACTCATCATTTAAAAATATCTTTAGGATAGTAAATGGTAAAGCTCTCACGCACACCACCGAGCAAAAGTATGGCCTGATCTTTCAATTTATGCAAATCAAATCGAAATAATCATGTGACGATCCACTTATAAAACGTGGGGTAGGGATAGTGGGGAAAGATTTTTAATACAATTCTGTAGAGGCCTGAATTGGGTCCCAAGCCCGCCCGGCCGGGCTTAACAATTAAATTTTCAAATTTAATATAGTCAAATCTTTCTATATCGATATACAGTCGGGGATTTTACCAATGTTCCACAGAAAATTCTCAAGCGATGATTGGCTTATAATCACGCTTTTTGGCTGAGATTTTCTGACTGTATACGCGCGAAAAGAAAAGAACCCATAGTTTAATAATCCGTGATAATTTCCTCATAATCCCCTCTTTCTAAAAAAGTAAATGAGACCCGAAAAAAACTTCAAGATTTCGCCCATTTATTTAAGATTTGTCTAGTTTTTACTTCTTTTTTTTTTTTAGCTTAATAATTGAGATGTTCTTGCAACATCATATATTTAGTCGAATTTGTATTTAAAACTGTCATGTTTTGTGGTTTGGGGTTGTTAATTTTGTTAAGATTAGCTTGCTATTATTGAAAGCAAATTTACAAATAGCTTTGATAATAAAAGGTTTTTTTTTTTACTATTTCTTCTATGTTTATTTTAATGTTTTTTCTATTTTTTTAAATACCAGAATTAGAAAATTAAGCATAATATAATTTGTGATGTATTTATCATTGTATAATTGAATGAAGTTCTCTTCAATTTGACCAAACATTTTCAAAGAATTTAATAAATAGTAAATTAGATTTTTGATGATATCTTGGGCTTTATTAATTGTAATTATATAATTTTTATATTATTCAATTCATCTTGTTGAGACAAATCAAATGGTATAAAAATTATTTAGTATTTAGAAAGATATCTTCATATTTTATGTTTTTTAAAAAATAGTTGTAATAAAGTTTTGTACTAAGTAAATCAATCTTAGTATACTAAATAAAGTTTACAGTATATATTTTTATACAATTTAAAAATTTGAGAAGTTTTAAAGAATTTTATTAATAAATACTTATGTTATATATTATTATAGTATAATTAATTTTTTAATATTATGATTTAATTAGCCAATTAGCATGTAATATTACATTACAGAAATGTTTAAAAATATCTGATCATCATTTTTATACTATAATAAGTGTGATCAATATTATTTATATTTGGTAAAATTTCTGACTGAAATATAATAATTATATAGAGATAATATATGAAGCCTTTGCAATAAAAAAAGCAGAAACTCAAATATATCTCACTTTGAGATAATTGAGTTTAATTACTTGTTTTGATTTTCAGACTAATCCAAGTTAACCAAAATTTCATAATTTTGATTAGTTAAAAATAACAGATGATTACTGAATAATCTTGTGATATGTTTTGTCTTATATAGTCTTGTACAACTTTTCTTTTATATTATCTTAATTTTTCATTATGCAAATCAACTTACATTTATAATCTAAAAATGTTAACCACATCAAAATTTACCCAAATTTAATAAAAACTCAATTTTCATTTTTGGGATAGTTTCCACCCTTTCTATTACAAAGGCTCCATATTAATATGTTTGGTTTAACCTCTAAATCAACTATTTATGATTGCTATATTTATATCTACTATATATCTATATCTATATTTATATCTATAATCTATAACTATATACTAAAAAAAATTTGTGGTAATGATAACATTTAGATTACTCTATTTATACTGTATAATGATAATATTTAAACTATCTTTATAAATTATTGATTCAATTGATTCAATTAAGATCATTCTAATTGGTTAATTTATATTAAAAATCTAATTTTTTAAACTTTAAAGAAAATTTTAATAAGATAACCTTTTTTGAAAGATTTTTCTGGTTCTAATAGTGTTTAAAACATTAAAATCGGCTTGGTAGATCTCAAGATATTTAGAATTAAAAATGTGAATATAAAGATTTACAAATTGGTAGTTATACAAAATATTATTCTTTAAACTGTATTCCAGTAGAGATTGGAACCACATAAAATTTTCTTAATTGTTTAATTGTTTAATCATTTAACTGTTTAACTTGGCCAGCATTAAGATAATTCTGGCTAATGACCAACATAATTTTGCCCAGAATTATGGAGCAATTTTTAAACAGTTAAACGGTTCCAATCCCTATATTCCAGACAAATTTGCCTGGAAAATTAAATTGTATTTAGTACAGTATCAGATAGTAAAAGACATCCAATCTATACATAAAAGTGCT